AGGGCGGCAAATACCCGTATAGCAAATATAGGGGAGTACCCCCCCCCCCCCGGGCTAATGCAACCTGGTTTTGATTCCTGCTCAAGCCCAAGACACCTACCTTAGTTCCTGTTTGATGTTGTAAGTGTTGTAGAAGATGTTGTGATGGTACAAGGCATCCTACTAGTGAACTCTCTACCTCCTAACAGCACAGAAATTTATCTCATAAAAAATCATCCATAATTATTTTCTTCAGTGTGCCATAGAAAATACACTTATGTTTGCATGAAGCTAAATGCCTGGCTTTCACTGGTATTAATACTCTATTTTACAGTTCCATTCAGTGACCACAAATAATAGTTCCAAGTCATGGCTTGGGTTTTCCGCTTATAGTAAAACTATACTTTTTATTGTGTGCAGCAAATCCAGCCTTGGCTTGGAACTATTATTCATTGTCACTGAATGTTGGACATCCATGAGGGGATGGAGTTTGCCAATACAGTGATGCTGTAAATTTTATGGCCGTCCCATGTAGACATAAAACAGTAAAATAAACTTGCCTTTTGCTGGGAGTGGATTTCTGTGGCTTCCATACTAAGAGCTTTTAATTCCTCCTTTGCTTTACGTATTCTTTCTAGAAGCTTGATTGGATTGAGCTAATTTTATATGTAAAAAATCGAAATATTACGATAAATTAATATTAGAGCATTTTTTGTTTGACTGTGAAAAATTCACAGCACGAAGACGGTTGTGACACTGCAATGCATACACTAGACCAATCACTTTGCTTCAGTATTTACTTTCCGGCCAATCAAATACCCGGAACTTGGTCACACCAAGGTCACAACACTGCAAGATCAAACACATCAGCAAGAAAAAAAATCAGCCAATTAAAATTCTAGAAAACATTTATGGTCATGGCACGCTTACGGCACCGAGCTTTCCACAGTCATACGAAAACTGCTCTATGAAATGGTGAGTGGTTTTTCATATTTTTTTATGTTTTTCTAGATCAACCTCTTGGGAAAAACAGCTGTTTTCAAAGATAACTTTCTGCTTATTGAACCATTTATTATATTATTTTTTCGATATTGTTTTTTGTTCTGAGAGGCATTAAAAGAAGTAGGAACGAAGTCAGAAAAAAATTAAATCATCAAAGGTTTCTCACTTGATGCTGGCCGTTTGTCGAAAACTGTCGAGAAAACTGAGAATCCAACCGTAAAGAGACATAGTTAAGATCTGATTCTGCTTTCTGCACCTACAATAACAAGTAAAACAAGCTATTTCAGACGAAATTCTTCTGCAATAAGTAAACTAAAAGTTGCAGAAGCAAATAAAAGTAAATTAGCAAAGTAAAAATGGCCCAAATTTTTCAAATTTTGGCGCCAAAATGGATTCAGTTCAACTGAAATTGTATGGCTATTTTACGATAAAATAGATAGAATAACTCGTAATAGCACATGTTTAAGGTTAAATAAGTCTGTAGAGACTGAAAAAGTGAGAAAATTTTTCAAGAAAGACTTACAAGAGCTTCTAACTTATCCACAACGGACTCCATGTTTGTTTTTTTTTTTGATAAACACTCGACCCAGTTTTCGCTAAAACCAAAGGAAGCCCGAGGCTTCGTAAGTTCATGGGTGAATAGCGGACGGAATGAGAAATAATATGTAAGACCACATTTTCAATAACCCAGATAACCAAGTGCAAAGATTTCTATTGATTTGATAGGTTTTATTTGAATATGATATATAGTTACCGCATCTTTGTACTTCTGCACCAGATTTTATTAAATATTCATGCGGGATTCCTATGGATATAGTCTGTGAAATTCCCTTCCCCTCCCCGGAGAGCCATGTTCACAGGCTATTGTATGCTCATGTAAATGGCAGGAAATATTGGTACATTGACCCCCATGTGGTTAATAAGACCTTCCCCCTCCACCACGCCCATGTGGTAACAAGCTGTACTCCTAAGAAGCAATTTTCAATTTTCAACACACATCACTACCAATAGCTGACCAGTATACTCACAGGCAAGTTTATTATTCATTCCCAAGTCCTATCTACATATGCCATGAGTTTATTACTCTATTTATTGCTCTATAAAATAATTTATTACCACAATCTATTATCAGTAGTGCTAGTTGGTGTTTATAAGACATTTTCATTGCAATGTTAATCTTTTAACCATCATCACTTGTTAAAGTTCTTACCAAGTTGCTTTGTTTTAACAGCAAATTGATCTTTGGTTAGCATTATAATGACAATACCAATTACATTACAACAACTAGTGCTATTAAAGGACAAATCATACATCTACTACTACCTTTACATAATTTAACAAAAAAGAAATAATGACAGCAATTTAGGATGCACAAAATAATAAATTCTAAATGAAAATGAAAATAAAATTTAAGATAACAAAAATAGCAAAAATAAAATAACAATTGCTGGAAGTAATCCAAATATCTAATCAATAACATTTACCTAACACAAATTAAAGATACTGCATAATATAAGTTATTTTTGAGACTTCAATTTTAACTTCCGGGCATAAAATATATTAAATCGAATTTCACAGTAGAACCAATTTAGATGAAATAAGACAAAATTAAAGTCATTCAAAAGGAAAATACTACAAAAACAAATACAACATATCAATTATTTTTTGTGTTCTTCTAATTTTGTTTCAAATACCTTTATTTCGCATCAAGAGAAAGACTAACTCTACTAACTCTCACATGAAATATTCTTGTTCTTAAGGTCAAATATTAAAAGCACATGCAAGGGACTTTCATTTCTATTGCAACTGAGATATCAGTTATCCTAAGATTGAGGCAAAGAACTGGGTCTAGTTGGTATTGCAGTGTACTGTGGGATTGTTTAAAGTGACATATTTCCAAGATGGCATCAATTTTGTCCCCTCAAACAGTCCCACAATGCACTGCAATGCCAACTCTGAAAACTCCCCCCTCAATTTTAGAAAGGCTAATAAGCTCTCAACAGGATTCCCTTCATTTCTTTTCATTCCTTGCTGTTGTTGTTGCTGTTGTTTTAGTCTTTGAAGAACATATCCACCAAGTCTTGCTTTTTGCATTCATCTGGACCAAGGCGCTTTTGCTGAATTAGATATGGGAAGCACTGATTATCAATATTATCTTCATACTCCTCTTCTTCATAATCATCTGTCGCCCCATTTTCCCTTTATTTTCTCCTCATCAGCATCATTATCATCATCACCATCACTATCATCATCATCAACCACCATCACCACCACCATCATCATCATCATCAACATTATTTGCATCACCATTGCCATTATACATCATCCCTTAACATTATCAGTCGTCATCATCCACTATCATGTATCATCAATTATTATCATCATCACCACCACTAGATGCATCCTAGCAAATTTTTTGAACCTCACCCTGGACATGTTCAGTTGCTCATTAAAAGTAGAAAACAGCTAGTTTTCAAAAACTTTTTTCATGATTATTTGGTATTTGACCGAAAGTTTTGGCAGCAAGATTTTGAAGGCTCACCATCTATTTTTGAGCTAGTAATCCAACTGCAATGTTCAAATAGGTAAACTTTTGCCGCAAAAATCGAAAAAAATACTTTTTTTCGATTTTTCTCCAAAAATCTTGGAGATCCCT